CCCGTGGGCAGGTGCCTGGCGGCGGTTCCTCCTCTGCAGAAGGCAGTGGCCGGCATCCTGGAAAGGCCTTCCGGGAGGTCTTGCGCACGCGTCCCGGGTGTATCCCTGTCCATGTAGCTGTTGTTTGTTATTGTCATGTTGGGACCTTCCACCTGTCGTAGATGCCTTCTCAGGATTATTCTGTTTAGTAAGCTAAAGAGGTGCAGTTGTGTGTGTGTGTGCGTGCGTGCCCACTTACACAAACTGTGTAGTGTGACCGGCATCGTGGTACCTGGAGGCATTCCTGCCCCGGGACGAGGAAAACCTGAGCCCATGTTGACTTGCCAAACCCGCAGCCTTCTAACACTGCAAACTATTAATAGGCAAGAAATGTATGCCTCATTGGTCACCACACAGCCATTCCTGGGCTTTGCCGCTGCCCTAGTTAGGCAGCCTCTCTCACGTCAACATCTGAGGAGGAGGAGAAATATTCGAGCTTTTACTTTCTCTGTAGCCGTGACACTCCAGTCATGGTTGGTCATGGTTGATCATGTATGATCATGCATGTAACTGCACATTTTTGAGCCATTTCAAGCTACCTATACAGTTTAAGAAGTCTTGCCTTACCTCATTTTCATTTTCAGGTGGCCTATAGTTTCCAGCAATTACCTTTTTGATGATTAATGGTGACTTTTTACTTTTTCTTGAGCATCAGAAGACTCCAGCATTTGTCTTTTGGAAGTCCAGATACCAAGGGAACCTGATGTTTTCAGCCTTAGTCAGAACACTGGAGGAAAAATAGTTCACAGATTTTATACTTCTAACAACCGTTTATACATGCACCCCCCCACACACACATATATACATGTCAGGTTTGGTCAGCTACCTGCCAACTTTATTCTTTGTGCCTTTGGATCAGAGAACTTGTAACATTTTATGGACTTTTCTCTCAATTTTATAAACGTGTGCTCTTTGGGAGAAGAGGGGTCAAGACCACTGTCCTCTGTAGTGTGCCCCATTACTGAAAACTGCCACTGAAGATTGAGGCCTTTTGGTGCTGAGCAGGAGTCACTGCAAACAGGTGCTGGAACTGAGGCATGAGGAACAAGCCAACAGGGACAAGACCTCCAACCTGTGATGTTTGCCAACAATACTGCTGAAGCCACTGTGATCAATTTTGTGAAAGCTGCCATCTGTGAGTTAGCTCACAAATTTTTGAACACTTGATATTTGTCAAATCAGTACCAAAAGCCTTTTGACTAGTTTGTTTTTAATAACTGCAACTTCTCTGTTTTCAGATTCCAAGAAACAATATTGGCTTTCTTTGGCAACTTTTAATGTCAAAACACCTAATTTTGATTTAAAATACCATGAGTAAATTGCTATGATGACTGTGTACTACATTGATATACAAGAGAGGGAGGAGAGAAGCTTGATTTCCTGCTGCTTAACCAACTTTCCAATTAGGTCAGCAAGCCTGCAAGGGCCTGGGCTGCTTTTTCTTTGGCCTCAGTCCAGAGGGCACAACAATCCTCCACACTATTCAGGTATAAGTCAGAGCTTCCCATGTATTGTTGTTGAAAGGCATGTAGAGAATCTTTAATGTATGTGAAAATCACTTTCCAAAAAGGTTCTACTCACAAATGTTACATCATCAAAGTTAAGAGAACTTCAAGGTGCCTTAAAAAATCCAACGATTTGAAATTTAAAAGCTTGAACAGACTTTGCCTGGTTGAAGAAGAAGCTGTAAAACAATTGTAGGGGGATTTTCAGACCCTAAACTAAAGTTGTTGTTGCTTAGATGCAATTATTTGGTGGATTGTGCAATTGTTGGGATGTCTCCCTAAATATATTTTAATGTTTGTCATATAAAATACTTTTAATCCAAGCTTGAGAATGAAAGTATATATGCAGAAATGTCGTTGTACTTTATTAAGCTAGTATGTTTTTCTTGTGACAAAGTTTAAATCACCCACCACTTAAGTCTTATTATTCCCTAAACACTGATGAATAACAGGCCTTGCTAAAAATAAATTGGATGATATCAGCTCCAACAGTAGAGTTCTTGTGTGTATTGAAGAAACTGCAATATTTTGCATGTTGGGTCAAGATCAATTACATAGAAAGAGAGCTCTGAGGGTGGGGTGCACAGGGGCTATGATTATTACATTTCTCTCACTCCCAGGTATGGAACAGTCTGTCTTGCCCCCAGGTGGTGACCCACTGCC